CTCCTGGGATGCCAGAGGGCGGCCACCCCAGCTCTTGGGCCCAGGGCGGTAGAGCCTCCTTGGAGGGGAGCCCGGCTCTCTGGCGCGGCCGGAGCTGCGGGTGTGCGCGCGGGTGGCGGGCAGGAGGACGTGCAGGGGGAGGCGGGGAGGACTGCTGCCCTCTGGAGCTCAGTAAGGAGGGTGGACCCCAGGGCTTGGCAAGTGCCACTTCTGGCAGGTTTGGAAATTTCCAAATAAATCCTTGTTTATTGGTGATACCTAGACTTGGTCACTAAACAGTACGGCCACTCATGAACAGACTGAAGTCCTTAAGAGCTTGTCCGGCAGAGCTTTATTTGAGGGACCCACACAAAAAACTTCACTTCCATAGCTTCTTGATAGACATATTCTTCTCGCTGTCCTTCTGCATGACCTGCAGAGAGAAAGCGTTAAGTTATACACTGAGCAAGTACACGCTTTCCCCACCGATCCAGAGACCCGGCCTACAAAGGCTGAAGAGGAGGCCTGTACCTTGGCTACGGCCATCTCAAAGTCCTCCTGTGTGACATGGACTCGCCGCTCCCGCAGGGCATACATGCCGGCTTCAGTGCACACACCCTGAGCAGAGAAAGGAAGCCAGGCACTGTTGCTGTGTGCCCTTGAACTCAGACCTTCCTGCCTCTGCCCCTTTAAACTTGGCCTCTCCGATTACCTTTACTTCAGCCCCTGACGCTCCAGGCATGAGCTCAGCAATTTTCCGCAGGTTGATCCCCCGGGTCAGGTTCATTTTCCGAGAATGAATCTTTAAAATGTCCAGCCGGGCCTAGAGGGGAGAAGAGGAAAAGCCTGAGCCCTGTGGCCTCCCCACAAAGCCAGAGCCACTCCCACCCTGCCCATCACCAACCTCCTCATTGGGGGGTGGGAATTCAATTTTTCTGTCGATGCGCCCAGGGCGGAGCAGTGCCGAGTCCAGGATGTCAATCCTGTTAGTAGCCATGATAACCTGAGTGGAGAAAGTGGGGTGGTGGCATCAGCCAAGCCCTTCCTCAGGCTGTATCTCACCCAGGGCCTTTCCTTGGACACCAACTCACCTTGATATTCTTGGTGGCCTCAAAGCCATCCAACTGGTTGAGGAGCTCCAGCATTGTGCGCTGCACCTCACTGTCCCCTCCAGAACCCCCCTCCAGCCGCGAGGAGCCAATGGAGTCGATTTCGTCCATGAAGATGATAGAAGGAGCATGTTCTCGTGCCATGACAAACAGCTCCCTCACCATCCTTGCCCCTGAGCAGAGGCCAGACAGGAGAAAGGAGCATTAAGGAGGCAATGAGTTCCCTACCCGCACCTCCCCCCACTCACCTCTGCTTCGTTTTCATGTTTTTAGTCACAGTTACCTTCCCCGATGAATTTCTGTACCAATTCAGAGCCGGAGACACGAATAAAGGTACAGTCTGTGTGATGAGCCACAGCCCGGGCCAACAGTGTCTTCCCAGTGCCTGGGGGCCCATATAGCAGCACCCCCTAGAGAGAAACAGGAGAATTCAGGGCAGAAGCCGGCCCCCACGTCACACTCCGTGAACACTTCCTGAGCGCTCGCTCTGGGCTAAGTCACACGCTACATGCTAGGAGCAGAAGTAACAAACGTCAAGGTCCCTCATAGAGCTGCTCTCTGAACCACCTCAGTGCTGTGGCAGCACTCCCTCCCACCCCTCTTCCATGGCGAGGGCCAGCTCAAGTGGGGTCCAGTCTATCCTGATCCCTCCCGAGTCCTGTACTCCCTCTGGCCGGGACAGGACTCGACAGGAACGCAGGGCCCTCCCGCAGAAACCTTGCTCACCTTGGGCTGTGCAATGCCCAGCGCCTCAAAGAGCTCAGGATGCTTGACAGGCAGCTCGATCACTTCTTTGATCTCCTTAATCTGCTTGTCCAGTCCACCGATCATCTCGTAGGTGGAATCTGGCACCTTCTCCACCATCATCAGTGACACCAGGGGGTCTACCTTGTTGGGCAAGATCTTGTGCAAAGTGTAGCTGTCGTTTCTTAGAGCCACTCGGCAATTGGGGGTCACCTGGGCAGGAGGAGAGACTTCAGCAAGTGGTGTGGGGAGAACTGAGCCCAACCCCCCACATGCTGCACTCACATCATTGATGTCGATGTTCTTGTCTACATCTACGACAAATTTGCCTTCGGGATGCACCTAGAGAAATGAGGGCTTGTGACCTTTCCTGATGGCCAGTAAACCACCCACCTTGCCCAGGAAGACCCAGAAGTCCTAAAATTAGAATAGAACAGGTGTCCGTGCTGGCAAGGGTACACACAAAGGTATGGGAATGCCCTGGGCGCTGGGCTGCCCCCTGGGGGCCATGCTGCCTTTACCTTAACCAACACTTTCTTCTTATCCATGGCCCGGACTACTTCTCCCACATAGGAGCCCTGCTCCTGCAGCAGCTGTAGCTCTTCCCGAAGCAGACGAACTGGATGGGAAACAGTCAGTGGTCACTTAGCTGCTTTGGTGTCCCCTCTCCTGTGACTCAATTCAATATGCATGAATTAAGCACCATTTTAAAGTTTTGGGAGAAAGGCCACAAAAAGAAGTCAAAATTTAGGTCTTTAAGGGAATTGCAATATAGCTCAGGCAAGGCAAGCACGTGAACAACTATGTAACAGTGCAAAACATGACCTTTGACTCTAGGAGAAAACAATAAGCACCAAACGTGAAGTCTCAATTTAGGGAGACCTGAACATCGGACCTCAGACAAACTGCCCACATATAGTCTTCCCATCTTTTCCACCTCACCTTTTGCGTTAAGCTCATTCCTCTGTGCCTGTAGCCTCCGGAGATTCTGGCTCTTATCATTCACAATCAGCTACGGAGGACAAGAAACATAGAAAATACTAGAAGGTTAAACTCTTGGCCAAAATCCTCAAGGCTGGTATGAGCTGAGTGACAGAAGAACACAGGGCACCTGCATGTTCCAGATTATCTACTATCCTAATAACACCGTCCTTTCTTCCAAGATTCCCCTTGGGGCCGAGGGCAGCCATCAAAAAAGGCTAGTTGTCCTAATACTGGTCCTGGAATAATAAGCCCTAATGGAAAAATGTTGCAGTGGCTGACACAGTTAACTTTTTGTGAGACAATAACATGGTAGAGTGGGAAGATCACTGGGTCAGAAGGCTAACTTCTAACCCCACTGCTGCCAATTAACAGGTAGGTAAAGCTAAGGGAAGCCTTTAAGAGATCTGTTACCGAACTGTAAGTAAATGTAGATGACATCACCTACCCTGCCTCTTTTCAGGACTCTTGTGGAGAACAAATGAAATCACCTGCAAAAGCACTTCAAAACCGATAAACTTAATACGATAGCTGCAAAGTACCAAGAGTTCAGAAATCGTCTTTGTGGCTGTCCTTCATCCAATATATATTTTCTCTGTTGCTACAGTCCTTGCTCCGTCTGTAGGCTAGAGCACTGGGCTGCCCAATGCCCTTCCAGTCAGTCCCATGAAATCAGCATTATACAGACTGGGCAACTGTCTGCCCTCCTCCCCTCCCCCTGCCCCCACCCAGTGTGCTCAATCTCTTCTCCTGAGCTGGTCTTCTCTAAGAAACCCGCTCATTCAGGCTCCTTCTAAAAGGAATGACCTTTGGCTAAGAATCAGGTCAGGTTAAAATCTGACTCTTCACAATGAGTAATAAACTGAATACTGATTACTTTCAAAGGAATGGGAGTAAAGAGAAATGAGACTTCGTATACTTATCATCATTGACCAGTTACTTCTTCCACTGCGCTGCCAGTGGAATTACATGTCATACATACACACACACACACATCTATACACGCACACACACACGTGTGTGTGTGTGTGTATATATATATATAAAACCTGTAGAAACACACTCCATCAATTCTTCCTCCCCTTTCTACTTAGAAGGGGATACCTCTGGCCCTCTGGAGTCCGTCCTCACCTGCAGTTCTTCAATCTTGGACAGGTAATATTGGCGGAGTCCACTGCCTGCCTTTCCCTCTTCCAGCTCCATCTGAAGACACAGTGTAATTATTAAAGAGGGTAAAAATCCAAAGGAAAACCCCACTTCCAGCCTGGACTTTGGAGGAATGATCTGGCTTCGAATTTCTCAGTCCATCTCTTTAGAACCCTCCACTTCCCCATGACTAAACTAAAGGCAGAAGAAGTATGCTGCCTACCTCACAAGACTTTCAGGAGGTTCAAGAGAACATACACGGGAGTGCTTTGTACAGAGTCAAGCGCATAGAAACCCGAAGTGTCATTACTACAGGCGGAGCCACCGGTAGGAACGGGGGCCCTGCCTCCTGCGACTCGCGGACGGGCCGGTTCCCGCTTCCTCCCTTCCCCTCACTCGCTCGGCTTCCACGGGGTCTTGTCTTCCTCTCCCGGCCCTACTCTTATCCGCCGGGGGCGGCACTGACACAGCAGATCCGGTCCCAGGCAGGGCCCCATCTGGATTGGTCGCCCCCTCCCCCGACCCACCCGACCCTCTTGCCCCCATCCGGCTGCCCACCTCGGATGACGCCTTCCTCGCCTCGAGGCCCAGTCCCCGCCCGTCCGCCGCAGCCGCCATACCTGCTCGGGTCCGTCAAGCGCCATCTTCCCTCTCCCGCAGAGACCGCCGGCATCTGAGCCGCCTTAACGCGCAGGCGCAGAAGCAAGGGTTTGGGACCCGACGACCCTGGCAGAGAAGAGTTCCGGGTCAATGGGCGGGGTGTGCGGCGAGAAGATTACAAAAACAGAGGCCATGATGGGAAGGTGGCTACGCGAGGTCAGGCGCTTTGGAAAGGGATGAGGCCACAGAAATCCTAAGTGTTTCCCTCCAGGAACTCAGTTTTAGTTAAGGTAATCTCCTCCCCTAGCCCCAACTTGCAAGTTACAGTACCTGGGGCCTCTCTCAAAATGGCGGACATTTGCAGCCGGGGACGCAAGCGACGGAAGCGGAAGTACGTGTCTGCCCACACGTGCCTCTCCCGGAGTAGTCAAAAAGGTGCTGGGGGCTCGTGTTTGTTGCGGCCAGTGGGAAAGGGAGAGTGGAATCTAGTGCTTCGGGAAGAGGGTTTTCACTTTCTACCTTGTCTCCGGTTTTAGTGACACTACCTCCTACCCACCCCGTCCCACCATGGGCAAGAAAAGCAAAGTCGGAAAGAGCCGGAGGGACAAGTTCTATCACCTGGCGAAGGAGACCGGTGAGTCAGGGTCCCGCGCTGTTTGGTACGAAGGGAGTGAGCGAACGAATGACCTTTTCAATTCGCCCCTTTCCGAATTATTGTTTCAATTTTGCATTCGGGGTGGTGGGTTGTGAGGCCGCAGACATTCTTCTGGGAAAGCGCCCCGCTGAGCTTAACATTTTGTCGGTCGCCAGGTTACCGCTCCCGCTCCGCTTTCAAACTCATCCAGTTAAATCGCCGCTTTCAGTTTCTGCAGAAAGCCCGAGCCTTGCTGGACCTGTGTGCTGCGCCCGGGGGATGGTGCGTAACCCCCGGTACCTGTAGCTCTTCACGGCTGTTGGGTTCCGGCCTTGGACGACTGAGAGTTGCTGTGGGGGAGGGAGGGATACGGTAACAATAATGTCAGCCTCAAACTTCCCTAGACGTCGGTCTCAGAGAAAAGGTTTGAAACGTGTACTTTACTTGATCTGGCCAGTGCACCAGTACACCTGGTAGTGGTTTCTGATAACACGAAGTGAGAGCTCTCCTTGTCAAGAGAGGGAAAGGAAGAGTCCTGGGTTCTTTTCGTCATTAGTATTTTTTTATAGGTTGCAGGTGGCTGCCAAGTTTATGCCTGTATCCAGCCTTATCGTTGGTGAGTAACAGGTGGCTCTCCTGAGTGTTTAAAGGGGTGGGAGTGTGAGGTGCAAATCGTGTCCTATGTTCTTTTCCTCCCTTCTTGAGGCAACCTTTTGGAATTCTCTGACCTGGTTTCTTCTAGGAGTGGACCTGGTTCCAATCAAGCCTCTTCCCAATGTGGTGACAATCCAGGAGGACATCACAACAGAACGCTGTAGGCAGGTAACAGGAATCTCTCTCTGGTTTACATGCAGACACCCACATCTGATCTCTCATTATCCAAGCCCCCTGAAGGCAAGCTTTTTTCTGTTTAACATGCTTTGAGCAGTGCTTGCATGTACACGTAAGCAGGCTCTTGACTTGCTTAGTCTCCACTCCAAGCTTTATTTAATCAGGAGTGAGGTGTTCAGAATGAAAGTGCAGAGATCTCATTGAAATCTTTTCCACGGGGCTCACTAGTAGAATGTGACTCTCATGAAGGTGCATTGTCGTTATTATATATTTTTGTCATCGTACCTCTGGCGCAGAATTTGGCCCATTGTGGGGATTCAGCAAGTGAGTGGGTAGACAGATGACTGGACCAGGGACTCCATTCCTAGCCATTTCTGTGTTTTTGTTGCTCTAGTCTCTCTCCCTCTTTCTAGGCCCTGAGGAAGGAGCTGAAGACCTGGAAAGTTGATGTTGTGCTCAATGATGGGGCCCCCAACGTTGGGGCTAGCTGGGTCCATGATGCTTACTCACAAGGTGCCAAGAGTGGGGCCTTGGAGAGGGGGGTAGAGGGAGGTGGAGGTGGGCATGTGATCTCAGGCTGCAGAAGTCCTCAGCTAATTGTCTCTCTCCCACAGCCCATTTGACACTGATGGCGCTGCGTTTGGCTTGTGATTTTCTGGCCCGTGGTGGCTGCTTCATTACAAAGGTTTTCCGCTCTCGTGACTATCAGCCTCTGCTGTGGATCTTCCAGCAGCTCTTTCGCCGTGTCCAGGCCACTAAGCCCCAAGCGTCCCGCCATGAATCTGCAGAGATCTTTGTAGTCTGCCAGGGTGGGCATCACTTTGTCGTTCCCATTACTTGGTTTCTTAGATCAAAGCATAATTGCTTACATACCCTATCATCTTAGGGTTCCTGGCTCCTGACAAGGTCGACAGTAAATTCTTTGACCCCAAGTTTGCCTTCAAGGAGATTGAAGTTCAGGCCCAGACTGTTACTGAGTTGGTGACTAAGAAGAGGCCGAAGGTGTGTTTGGGGGATGGGGCCACTCTCGGGTCCTGGCACTCGGGAGGTTGGGCTTGCTGGTTCTGTTAGACAGCTTCGGAGGGACTTCTTAGCCTTCCTTTTTTCCCTCCCTAAGGCTGAAGGCTATGCTGAGGGCGACCTCACCCTTTATCACCGTACTTCAGTCACCGACTTCCTCCGAGCTGCCAACCCTGTGGACTTCCTCTCCAAAGCCAGCGAAGTGAGTCCTCAGATTTGAGGGGTGGAAGGAAGCCCCAGAAACGTGACCCCAAAATCTCCCAACTCCTTTCCTTACTCCCACACAGATCTCGCTAGATGACGAGGAGTTGGCACAGCATCCCGCCACCACTGAGGACGTGCGGGCCTGCTGTCAGGATATCAAAGTGCTAGGGCGCAAGGAGCTTAGGTGTGTGGCGGGGGCGGGCCTAGCTGCCAGGGGCCCTGCAGCAGCTTTTTCCTCCTCGAGGCATCATTTGAGTTCAGCCAGCATCGCATCTCCTGGAACGGGCTGCTGCTGCGCTAGGGACTGGGGCGGGGGCCTGCAGAGGGGAACGGCGGGGTCAGTAAGGGGATTTCTGGGGCAGGTCCCTACTGAACTGGAGAACGAAGCTCCGGCGCCACGTGGCCAAGAAGCTAAAAGCGCAGGCGAAGGCACTGGACATCAGGTGAGGAGGGAATTAAACCAGGGTAGGTGTTGACTGGGTGTTGGTGGGGAAGTGTCCGAGAACGTAAGCACGCTGCTCGGCCCGTGGTCAGTCTCAGCTCCGGAGAGGAAGAGGAGGAGGCCGACGAGGAGTCCGCAGCTGGAACGGTGAGGCAGCCCTCGGAGGAGGAAGAGGAGGAGGAACAACTCGACCGGACCCTGGCAGAGATGAAGGCCCAGGAGGTGGCGGAATTAAAGAGGTGAGGGGAGTGGGGAGGGGCGTGGGGAACCCCATTGCGGAGGTCCTCAGGGTGCAGGTGGGGGAAGAGGGGGAGGCACAGGTGGGGAATCTGTAGAGCTGGGCAGGTGGAATTCCTCAATTGTCTTCTCAGGAAGAAAAAGAAGCTGCTGCGTGAGCAGAGAAAACAACGGGAGCGAGTGGAGCTGAAGATGGATCTTCCTGGGGTTTCTATTGCAGACGACGGGGAGACTGGCATGTTCTCCCTGCGCACCATCCGGGGTCACCGGGTGAGAGAGGGGTCAGGGCAGATTGAGGGGACAGAACAACCTAATTAGGTATTTGGACACGAGGGGCATTGAATGGCTTCTTCAAGTGTGTTGAATGTTTACGGCTCACAGTTGCTGTGTTCACCCATGAAATGAGAGGGGATTCATTTTTGGGGAGAGGAGACTGGGGGAAAAACCCAGAGCTTTGTGCTTGAAAGGCCAGGAAAAAACCTACAGCTAAAATGATGAGATTAAGGGGCACGTGGGTGGCTCAGTTGAGCGTCCCTCACTAGCTCAGGTCATGATCTTGTGGCCTAGGAGTTTGAGCCCTGCAGGAGTCTCTGTGCTGACAGCTCAGAGCCCACTTCATATCCCCCCTCTGCCCCTCCCCTGCTTGCGCAATCAAAGTAAGTAACGTTTAAAAATATTTAAAATAAGATCAGGAACGTTTACGAGTGGGATATGTATTTATTCTGTAGAACTGGAATTTGAGAACCAAGAGGCCCTTTTAGCGGCAAGCTTCGGTTCTGGTAGATGCAGCCAGGGACCGGGGACGCCGGCATGCATGAGGGTTTCCTTCAGGGGAGGGCAGCGTTCTTCAGTTCACTGAGACCAGGTTGGCACCTTGTTGCCTGAGGCTGCTACGTGGTGCTTTCTGCCAAACACACACTGGAGAACCTGCTTTTCCATCATAAAAGCATCAACCAGCGAAATGAACTTTTGTGGCTCTTGTGTGCTAAGGGCAACCAGGTCATCTTTGTTACGAGTGCAGAAGGGAGTGAGCGTGGTGTCATGGAGCAGACTGCCACGGACTCATTCTTTGCCTTAGTTTCCTCATCTGTGAAAGAATAATAGCACCTACTGACTAGGGTTTTGGGGAGGAATGTAAAGGGTTTAGATATAATAATCACTGGTAACGTGGTAAACTCTTAGGAACAGCTGGCTTTGTCATTAGTAGATTTCGAGGTTGATGGTAAGTGAAATTGTTCTTGTTGGATGTGTTGCCTGGGCTCTTTCATTTAGTGGAAACAAAATGTGTAGATTCTCCGAAGGTGATGTGCTTTCTGAGAGTGATTTTTCTAAGAGAAACCAGCGTTTCAGACTGTTTTAACGTTTGATGTTATATATAGGTTTTGGGGTATTTTTTAAAAACTTATTTCTGATACCGTTGAAGACCAGACCGACACGTGGGAGTGGCCTGGCCCAGAACGGGACGTGCTAACCATTTAGTCCTGTCACTTCAATGAATTTGCCACAGTGTATTTTCAAGCTTTGCTAATAACATAGTTTTCTTCCCTGTATGTTCCTGCTACGTCCCCTTGATCTGTTGGTTTCTGTCAAATTCTAGCTGTTAGAGGAGGTAACAGAAGGAGATATGAGTGCTGCAGACACCTTTCTGTCCGATGTGCCAAGGGATGACATTTATGTATCAGATGGTGAGGATGACGACACATCCCTGGATAGTGATTTGGATCCAGAGGAGCTGGCCGGAGTTGGAACTGCACGTCTAAAGGACCAAAAGCGGTGAGGCGGCGGTGTGTGCGTGCGTGCGTCTCTGCGCACGGGAGGGCGGACTGACCCCCGCAGTGTGCGTTCTGAAGCAGAGCTGGTCATAGGGGTCGCCAGAGGGAGTCAGGGAGCAGGCCCTCTAGGGCACTGACCCTCCGCCCGTTCTCGGGTCTACAGCGTGCAGTTTGCTGAAGTAGAAGGTGGAAAAGAGGAAGCAGAGAATCCGCTGCTGGTACCACTGGAGGAAAAGAGGGTGCTGCAGGAAGAACAAGCCAGTCTGTGGTTCTCTAAGGTAAGGAGAGGCTGGCAGCTCAGACGGACAGGGTCTTAGCATTCCCGGGGAGAAGGGCGGCTGAATGTTCCCCTTCTCCGTCACAGGATGGCTTCAGTGGGATGGAGGATGATGCGGATGAGGCCCTGGAGATCAGTCAAGCCCAGCTGTTGAACGAGGGCCGTCGGAAGGGGCGGCAGCAAGTGCTGCCACCACCTTCCTGTTTGAAGACGGAGGAGAGAGCTCCCCAGTGCCAGGAGGAGCAGCCAGCAGGGGCAGAGGCTCCGTCGGAGGCAGAGGCCACCAGCAGGCCGGGCGGGGAAGAGAGAGAGGGCAGCTCAGACAGTGACAGCGACAGCAGCAGCGAGGATGGAGAGAGGTGAGTGGCTGCGGGTGACGGGAGAAGGGGCGAAGCAGCAGCGGTTCTGTTTCTCCATGTTTGGGTTCTCTGCTTTGGGGGAAATTTTAAGACATACCGGTGATTCTGATTTAAGTGGTCTGCAGCACAGCCTGGGAGGGTGTTTCTGGAAGTTCAAGTTTTAAACAGGAAGCACAGCTGAGGCGAGAGGCAGGTGTGGGTCTGGGGGGTGGCGGCACAGTCACGTGCTTGTCGTCCTGCAGTTGGGAAACAAAGCGTGGAAAGAAGCGAAGCCGTGGGCCTAAGTCAGATGACGACGGGTTTGAGATCGTGCCCATCGAGGACCCAAGTGAGCGCCACACCTTACGGAATGGGAGGCGACGGTGGAAGTTTCAGTGTTGGGAATGGAGCTTTGAGGTTGTCCCTTTCTGTCTCTAGTGAAATATCGGATACTAGACCCTGAAGGCCTTGCCCTTGGTGCGATCATTGCTTCTTCCAAAAAGGCAAAGCGGGACCTCATAGATAATTCCTTCAGCAGGTAAGGGGGCTGGAACATCATGAGAAGTGGTCTTGGCTGGGGGTGGGTAAGGGGGTGATGCTGCTTCAGGAAGCCTGGAGTCCTCAGGGCTGCTGCTCTCTCTCTGCTTAGGTATACGTTTAACGAGGAGGAGGGGGAGCTTCCGGAGTGGTTTGTGCAGGAGGAAAAGCCGCACAGGATGCGGCAGCTGCCCATCGACAAGAAGGAGGTGGAATACTACCGCAGACGCTGGCGGGAAATCAATGCACGTCCCATCAAGAAAGTAGCAGAGGCCAAAGCCAGAAAGAAACGGAGGGTAAATAGTGGGGCTGCTTGAATGCAGGGGCGGGAGTTGGGGGGAGGAGGCCTGTCTGATTGAGCACCCGCCCCCAGATGCTGAAGAAGCTTGAGCAAACCAAGAAGAAGGCCGAGGCTGTGGTGAACACCGTGGACATCTCCGAACGAGAGAAAGTGGCTCAGCTTAGGAGGTGAGGGAGAGGGATCACCTCCAAAGGTGCATGGGGTTGAAAAGGGCAGCAGGAAGCCTCGAACCTGTTTCTTCTGTTTTATAGTCTCTACAAGAAGGCTGGCCTCGGCAGGGAGAAACGCCAAGTCACCTACGTCATAGCCAAAAAGGGTGTGGGCCGCAAGGTGCGCCGGCCAGCTGGAGTCAGAGGTCACTTCAAGGTGGTGGACTCCAGGATGAAGAAAGACCAAAGAGCTCAGCAAAGGAAAGAGCAGAAGAAAAAACACCGACGGAAATGAGCAGAGCCACCAGGGCCTCCAGTGTGAGGACATGGAAGTGTGATTCTGGCTTTGCTTGCATCCCACTCAGCTGGACAGACAGGTGGGGTGCCCAGAACTCTCAAGGTGGTCCTCATGGTGAGGGTAACACCCCCCACGGATCTTCTGATAGGAACGTGGGGTACTGAATGAACACTCCTACCTTTAAGGTCCATGTTGGGGTAGCATATTCACTCTCTCTAGGCAAGTGGGGCCTCTTGGGTCTTCCCCCCTCTTCTTCCATTCATCCAAATAAAGCCAGGGCACTATTTTTTCCTGACATTTTAGTTCCCATGAAGCATTAACTCAGAAGCACCTGGGTGTTCACACCATGTGCTGCACGGTTACAAATCCTACTTCGTATGTACTCACTGTGAAGTACAAATGACAAACAATCCACAGGTCCCAGTAGTAAAACATTTACTAGAGCAAGCAGAGAGGAATGCACATCTTAAAGAAACCTTCACAAAGTCACAAAATTCGAAGGATGTATATTTCTTTTCCTTTTATAAACAAGATAGAACAAAAATCATCAAAATCATTTCAGCAAAAGATTTTTCTACCATTGTGGCAAGTTAAAAAAAAAAAACAATGAAATAGAAGACACTTTAAAAGCTGTCAGAGTTTTTGTTTGTTTAAATTTAGCAATACTTCAGACCTGGAGCAATCTGGTTTCCAGGAGCATCTTTTCCTCCTCAAGGGCAGAGGTTCTGGGTGTCACCGCCGCTGCTTCCTGTCTCAGGACTGGATACAACCCTGGCTGGGGAACCTGACCATGGACTCCCACTTTGAATTAGGCATCTCCCTTCCCTGCAAAGTCTAGAAGCACCGAAATGCTTCCTCAAATCTCTCACAAATACTTCAGTGGGTTGGTGTACAGAAAGCCAACTCCTAAAAGGGACTGCCTGGCCAAACAACTAAGAAAAGGAATTTTATCTGTAGATGTTGATAAGGTGACAGTTTAGTAAAAAATATAAGCTACATATAATATAAACCTAGAGTGAGTTTTGTGCCCTACAAGGCCCGTTCCTCGAAGGTATCCCCAACTGACCTTGATAACTCACCCAGAGCCCATAAGGAAGTTCCCAGCTCTCACTGCTTCCACGGACCAAAAGCAGCTTCCTACGAAGACATCTGAAAACTGATCCAGGTGAAGGAGTAATGTCTCCAAGCTCCAGCTATCCACTAAGGGCAGGGGGCCCTTACACTGTGGGCCCCAACCCAGCCCTGAGACACCTAGTTACCAAAAATCTTTCTAAAAATAAAATTAAAGACAATTGATTTCACGCTTGAGCACATACCCTCTAACTGTCCCATCGACTTTTCTTGCGCTTGGGTGGCTCAGGGACAGCGAAACCGTCAGCTGTCTTGTCTGTCTTGCTGTCCATCTTGTCCACCTTGATGTCCACTTTGGGGTCCACCTTGCTCTCACGATTACAACCTTCCTTCCTGCTTTCACCATTCCGACCATCGTTTGCACCTCGGCTCTCTCCATGTCGGCCTCCACCTCCTCCGTGCCTGTTCTCTCCGTGGCGGTGACCATCAGCATGACGGCTGCCACTCTCTGGGTAGCGGTATCCGTCTCCATGGCGACCACCCTCTCCGTGACGTGGGCTATCACCATGCCGATTACTCTCTCCGTGACTGTGGCGGCTGCCGCCACGGTTTTCAGTATATCGCTCTCTCTTCCCGTTGCCTCCAGCAGGCCCTTCTCGGCTGTTACTCCCTGAAGCTGTGTTGTTGACTCCCTGGGTTCCAGCAGAAGGGTAGGTCACTGGAGCGCCGCTGAGGCTTCCGGTGTTGCCAAAGCCTGGGATGCCCTTGGTGGCGCTGGCAATGGGGCTGTCTGGACTGTTATGGCCCTGCTGGGCTGAATTAGTTGGAACAGAATTCAAGCTCCCTGCACTAGTCCATCCACTTGCGCCAGCAGCAGAGCTTCCCGCCTTCTGGTTGCTTAAGCTGGCAGCAACAAAGTGACTCTTGTACTGTGACTAAAAGAGACAACAGGAGTAGGTAAGACACTGGGTTCCAGAAAATTGGGCAGGTAAGCTTGGCAATGAGAACGTACACAAATTCTGTGCTACCCCGGCACTCTGAGCATCCTGATGGCCCCACAACTGTGGTATCTCTGTTCCTCTTACTAATGAGAAAGAGTAAACCTAGGGACTGAACTGAAACATCACTCCATCACTCTGAGGGCAGATAAAATGTACAAAGTAAGGCTCAGCTGGTTAGCCAGCTAACTGGAGGAGTAAGTACCGAAGACGGGTTCAGAATTCAGATTACAAAAGCCTTAGAGGTGGGCACACTCTAGGCAGTGGAGGCAGGGAGGGAGTGCCAGCCCTGCTGCAGCACAACAATCCTGGGCTCTGGGATGACCGAAGTCAATGGCCAGCAGGAGGAGATTTCCTACCTTCTACACCTCCATCTGCAGGTAAGCTACGGCTAAGTTTATACTCAAAACTGAAAACCATGAGAAGGCCCTAAATCCAGCATCAAGCGTATAAGCCCAGGTTACCATCTCAGAAAGACTAGGCCCATCATCACAGCCCAAGAGTTAACTGGTGAAAGCTAGTTCATATGCTTAAATCCAGACCTGGAAAGCTGCTTTCATGGCTGTCAGCCGATCTCCCATGGCTCCTGTGGAGGGCTTGTAGGCCTCATAATTGCTCATCACGTTGTTGTTGTTTCCTCGGTCCTAAAAAATAAGCACACCCGTGAGGACAGAATGGGCCTCAATATACTGGAAACGGAAGTGGGTGCTGCAATGGGAACAGGATATTTTTATTTCTATCTTATGAGGGAAGGTACAGTAATAATCGTTTTAAAGTGTTTTATTTATGCCTTTTAACCCATTGATTGTTTTGGGGGAATTAGCCTTAATATATTAGAAATGAAGTCAGATAATGCTGAAAGCTGATCATGTGGTATTTACACACAAACCTGATATTTATGTAGTTCTGTAGAGCTTTATGCTAAAGATAAAGAGGCCACAAGGCAGTCTATATGGCATATGCCAAGCTCAGGCTCTGAATCCATTCTTAAAATAAGCCTGAGTCTCAGCTTCAGCACTTAGTGGAGTATAACTTCAGGTGCCTCAGTTTTATTGTCCATACTTGCTATCACTGGGTGGCTGTGAAGATTGACTTAATACATGCCAGGGCCAGCCGCTGCAGGCAGTCACGTATGTTAAGTGCTCAGTGTTAGCTATTGCAGCATGTGTCCTGTGCGTCATGGTTACTGAGACATAGGAGGGGACTCTTTATCAAAGACACCAAGTTAACTATAATGCTCCAGAAACAGACTGGCAGCTTTCTACTTCAGTTTAGGAATCAAAGTTAAGAAAGCCAGTAAGGGGACACTTTTGTTACCTGTTTGTGAGGAAAGCTAGCTCTCACCTCACTCTGATGCTATTTCCCACCAAATGTAGAAAGCATTCCTGAGTTTAGTTACAAGATAGGGCTAGAGTTTACAGAGTGACTCTACATCTGTAGCAGTAGGCTCTAGGCCAGTGCTGGAGGGCTTGTAAAAACAGACTGCTGGGCCCCACCTCCCAGAGGAGTTTCTAACTCAGCAGGCTGGGCATAGTGCACGAATTTGCAGTTACTGCTGCCAGGGACCACAATTTGCAAACCAATGCTAATCTAGACGATTTCCTGAGCATGTCTAATCCCCACCTACACATGGTGCTTCTTCAATAGAAAGTCACAACATTCTCTTCTAGACAGGATTCTGAACTCATGGAGGGGGTCTCAGGTAGATGAGGGTAGTTGTAACCTCTTCCAGGACTCAGGACTAGCCCTAAGGGCACTACTATAGTCTGGACTCACCGTGTTCTCTGAGCCTAGGCCAGGCCGCTCCCTGTAGCCTAGGCCACCTCCACCAATGTTCAGCTTTTTGCCTTTGCCTCCTTTAAAGCGGGATTTCCGAAACCAGGCATTCTGTGTTGAACACAATTCAGGGTTAAGCCAAGGGAGGAAGAGGTGGCCAGAGAAAGAAGACAACATCAAACAGGAAATTAGGGGGAGGGGGGAACTTACTGCTTCATCTTTAGCCAATGTTTTAGGAACAGTTTAGCTTAGTCCACCAAATTTGTCAGGAGTCTTAGCACCTTATCTAAGACTTCCGTTACTGCTGTTTTTCAGGGCTTCCAGGAAGGGAAGTGATTAGATAAGCCTCAGGTGCAGAACACTTACTCTGGCCTCTTCTAATTTCCTAGAGAAAAACGAACTGATTTTCTATTTCTCAATCTTTATACATACCACTGGACTACACAAATTTGGAGCTTTTAAGAACTGGTGGGTTCAGAAGTGAAGGAAAAAGGTTAAGTAAAGTGAGGTTCATCAGAACTGGCTCCAGGGGCAGACGTCCAGGACTGGTAAGCCACATAACTGAAAGTTATATTTATCCATAACCCAGAGTGTTCCTTTAACTTATCACTAGTAGAACACTACTAATCAGATTTATTCCCATCGTCTTCAGACTGCAAACATGAATGGGAGAGGTTAGCCCTTTATCTGACAATTACATGTTATAATCTAAGCGAAGTACTTAAGAGTTAGGGCTGGCTTCAGAAAGGCACTAACCAGGGAAGCTAATCACACAGTCTGAGAGCACAGGAAACATGAGGCAGAAAAGAGGATGCAGGAAAAAGACAAAATCTATCCTGTTTGAAAATGTAGTTTACAATTGGCTCTCTGTAGCCAGGAAAGAGAAGGAAACACTATTCTCCTTCCTGCAATGCAGGTCCTTACTCCCAGAACCCCGAGCACGGGCAGCAGTACCACACTGTAAGTTGCCTTATGAATCTGAAAAACACAGTCTTTATTACCTGAATGTTTATACTGAACCCATCTGTAATATGGGGATGACATATTAAGATGATTTAAGATTTAATTCAACAGAATGCCCAGGTTTGGATCGGTAATCGAGGTGGTGAAAGGTCTGAGACTTAAGTCTGTGAAAAATAGTTAAATGCATCATTTTCGTAAGATGTCACGTATTTTTAGCCGCCCCTCCCTCCGCCCCAAGGAGAAGACTGAGGGAAGGGTGGAAAGGAGAATAGCAGTCATCTTTGAGATTAAATGTACAAGTATGCTATGAGGCAAGCAGGCAGAAGTTTCAGAGGGACAGATTTTAGCACAAAGGGATAGCTTTACAAACAGAGGCTGCTTGCTGTAAGACGATAGCAGACAGATCAGACGAATTTTAGATGCTGATCTGTACCTCATAAGCACTGTCCCCACCCATGGCCCCAACTTTCCTGTCCTGTCCTGTTTTCGGTTATTTTCTCAAGCTTGTTGAGTTTTTATTCCCCTTTTTTACAACCTGGGGCAATCTGAAGCGTACCTAGCCCCTTACCTGCATTGCTAGATCCAGGAGTTCCTTGGAAACATGTTGATTGGCTCCTTCCAAGTTCCGGACAAGGTCACCAGCAAAATTGCTGTCCTTGGGGGTCAGCAAGGTATAGGCCACGCCTTTCTCACCCGCTCGTCCTGTGCGGCCAATCCTGTGAGTGTGAGTATCAATGTCTCGTGCCACGTCATAGTTAATGACAGTCTTAATTGAAGGAATGTCCAGACCACGGGCTGAAATAAAAACCAAATTCTTTTATTCTTCAGCATGAGTCAAAACAAAGTAATCCAAAATGCTAGCTCTTTATGAACCCACATTCCTCTAATCTGGGCAAGGTGCATGCTTTGGTGAGCTAATAATCAAGCATTTAATTAAAGATACCCTTCAAAAGCAAATCCTGGTATTGTTAATTCTATGATGCTAAGCTAGTCTAGCCTAAGGGAGAGATGCCTTCTGCCATGGCCTCTCTTACACAAAGAGTATATAAAATAAAGCCAGCATCAAATTGCCTTGAAGCTGAGAAATTATCTCCTTTTGGGGAGAAAACATGAGTTTTTTAAGGGCAGCTATTAAAACCGAGAACATGGGGCGCCTGTGGTGGCTCGGTTGAGTGTCTGACTTCAGTTCAGGTCATGATCTCACGGTTTTTGAGTTTGAGCCCCGCATCGGGCTCTGTGCTGACAGCTTGGAGCCTGCTTCAGATTGTCTCCCTCTCTATTTAAAATAAGTATTAAAAATTGAAAAACAAACACAAAAAACTGAGAACACAATGCAAGCTAAGAACCATACTTCAAAAATGTTTCAATATTGACTGAAGTATGCCCAGTTAACGTAAGACAGCTACTACATTCAGACATACAACAGAGGCACAGCCTATGATATAACTGGCTCAACAATTTTTCCCCCGAGTTTCTTCCAACTACAGG